AAATTATATAGCTAGATGAAACAGATATGTATGTCCTCTTAACAGAACATTTAAATTATATAGCTAGATGAAACAGATATGTATGTATTCTTAACGGAACATTTGAATTATATAGCTAGATGAAACAGATATGTATGTCTTCTTAACGGAACATTTGAATTATATAGCGAGATGAAACAGATATGTATGTCTTCTTAACAGAGCATTTAAATTATATAGCTAGATGAAACAGATATGTATGTCTTCTTAACGGAACATTTGAATTATATAGCTAGATGAAACAGATATGTATGTCCTCTTAACGGAACATTTAAATTATATAGCTAGATGAAACAGATATGTATGTCCTCTTGACCCTTATATTACTTGCATGTTTCTATAGTACTCGGTACAAGTGGGCTCATATATTGTATTATTTGAACATTTTTTATGTTTCTACATGTTATAACACTCAGTTTAAAGATCACACATAAATATTTGAGTGAAATCATACATTTTCTGTGTAAAACTCCTAAAGAACCCCAGCAATAATTAGTTTGATTGATTTCACTGCTGATGGTATTTATGCTTCAAATTTATTTTGTGACCTATATCTCTAAAAAAAAAAGTTGTGTAATGTAAAAGGGAAAGACTGAGAATGGACTTGTTTCAGGATATTGTTATATGTACAACCTCATTTGTTTGTATGAGTACTCATTTAAATTTCTTTCCACTGTGTAGCAACTCAGAAAACATAGATTCAAACATAAGAAAACAGGTGACTGAAGGAGATGAACAAAAATTATTTGTGAACTATGATAAACCATCACAACACGATTCTCGTAAGAAGATGGGTAAGCTTGGTTTCGAGTTTATCAGTTAGTGAAAGTTGCTCAATCATAAATATGGTATGTAGTCAGTGTTCCCTCCAAACTGCACGGCAGCACAAGAACCAATCAAGTGCTGCACAGTTCATTATTCCAGCTGTGCACATCCTCAGTAATGGTGAGGAGCCTCAACATGTTGATGGCCTTAATGACCCTGGCAGTTGATAGGCTTAAGCTCAAATGACTAACTGGTAACATTGCAACACAAATATTATTATAGTTCTATTAACTATGACCAATATTCTTGTTGTTCTACTAACTATGACCAATATTATTATAGTTCTACTAACTATGACCAATATTATTGTAGTTCTACTAACTATGACCAATATTATTATAGTTCCACTAACTATGACCAATATTATTGTAGTTCTACTAAGTATGACCAATATTATTGTAGTTCTACCAGCAATGACCAATATTATTGTAGTTCTACTAACTATGACCAATATTACTGTAGTTCTACTAACTATGACCAATATTATTATAGTTCTATTAACTATGACCAATATTATTGTAGTTCTACTAACTATGACCAATATTCTTGTAGTTCTACTAACTATGACCAATATTCTTGTAGTTCTACTAACTATGACCAATATTCTTATAGTTCTACCAGCTATGACCAATATTCTTGTAGTTCTACTAACTATGACCAATATTCTTGTAGTTCTACTAACTATGACCAATATTATTGTAGTTCTACTAACTATGACCAATATTATTATAGTTCTATTAACTATGACCAATATTATTGTAGTTCTACTAACTATGACCAATATTATTGTAGTTCTACTAACTATAACCAATATTATTGTAGTTCTAACTAACTATGACCAATATTACTGTAGTTCTACTAACTATGACCAATATTCTTATAGTTCTACTAACTGTGACCAATATTCTTGTAGTTCTACTAACTATGACCAATATTCTTGTAGTTCTACTAACTATGACCAATATTCTTGTAGTTCTACTAACTATGACCAATATTCTTGTAGTTCCACTAACTATGACCAATATTCTTGTAGTTATACTAACTATGACCAACATTCTTGATAATGATAAACTATACATGTAGAACTGATAGATATTTTAAAAATATATATAATCAACAATTTCAAGTGAGCTTGAACTAACATGTGTTATAAAATAATTTAAATTTCATCATCTTATTATTTTATTTCTTTGTGAAGATGACTCTAGAAGAAAATATGTTGGAGTTTTGAGTGTAATTCCTCTGGAGATAAAATTTTTATACCAGCTTTTTTTGATTTTTAATAAGTTTTATTTGTGGAACTGATGGAGGTTTCTCCATTTGACTAAAGTAGGTACATTAAATTCTGTATTTTAATAGATTTCAAAAAGTGTTTAACAAAAAGACATGAAGAGACTGGACCTATGAGGGAAATCCCAGGTTTGTACATACCTTCATCTTTAGTTATAGAAGGATGCTTCTCTTTCAATCTAAGATGCTGTTATGAATTGTAATAATTTCTTAAACTTGTTGAAACATTATGTATATGCTTATACTATGTTCCAAGCATAGCCTAGTGGTTAGCATGATGAACTATGGATTCAAGGATTCATGGTTTGTGTCCTGCTACCACAAAATTTAAAACTTTTTTGTGGCAATGAGTGATGACTGAGTAGAGTAGCTGAAGAATTGACAGGTTATACTGTCGACTACAGCAGCCTTTCCTCTACTTGGTTCAAAATTAGTAATGGCTGGCACAGATACCCCTTGTGTAGCTTTTTACTAACGTTAGAAGGCAAGAAATGATTAACAGTAAAATAACTTAAGTTTTGTTGTTGTGGAAAATAATTCTAACCTTTATTTACATTATTACTGTAATTGGTATTGTTGGTCATGTTATTTTCTTCACCAACAATTCTCCTAAGTCATGCGTTGTTCCTTGGAAAGAGGTACTGTTTTAGTACTGTCAAGTGAAAAGGGTGCTGTTCCTCTGGAAGAGGGATCTTGTAGTTTCTCTTAACTGAATAGGTAATTCTATGGGAAGAGGGATCTTGTAGTTGCTGTTAAATGAATAGGTAATTCTGTGGGAAGAGGGATCTTGTAGTTGCTGTTAACTGAATAGGTAATTCTATGGGAAGATGGATCTTGTAGTTTCTCTTAACTGAATAGGTAATTCTATGGGAAGATTACCTATTCAGTTAACAGCAACTACAAGATCCCTTTCCATAGAAATCTTCACACAGAATTACCTATTCAGTTAACAGAAACTACAAGATCCCTCGGGATCTTGTAGTTGCTGTTAACTGAATAGGTAATTCTATGGG